ACCCATCTCCCACTTCTTCTCAAACCATCAGAGAATACAATGGTGTACATTTATGGTGTGCCCTGCCCTTCCTCTTGGGCCCCTGGGATTGTTCTAGGGATGAGCACTGATCCCAGCCTGGCCAATTAGCACTTCTTTTCCCCTTAATTTCAAGCTTGAATTAAGAGTGGTAGTCCCTTTCTAATGGTGGCAATAGTAAGATGTAAAACTTGGGGGTGCTGTATTTCCTAATATATAAAGAAAGCCAGTCTTGAAAGAAACTGAAGCCAATGCAACAAGGGAAGCAAAGACGAAGCAAGAGAATTCTGATGGTGCTGAAGTTCCTGAAGCCTCTGCTTACTGCCCCCACCACTTTATGTTGACTGGTCAACAATTTTTTGGATTCCTTAAGCTAATTCTTCTCCTTTACTTTGCCAGGCAAATTCAGGTGGTAAGTTTCTGTCAGTTGCAACCAGGAGTTCTGGATAACATAAATGCCACATGGCCACAGCTAAACTGGACTGCCTGCTCATTCTGAGCACACTTGTGCTTATGTTGTTCTTTGTGCCTAGAATGTTCCCCATTCCCACGTGTCCAAAACTAACCACTCAGTCTTCAAGGCCCCATTTCTCATGAACTTTCCCTGGTCCAACATGTTGCAATTCAACTATCCCTCTTTTAAGCGCCCCAGTCCTTTAAAAAGGGGAAAAAAGTTCTTTTCGATACAGAGAAGATTAGCATGGCCCCTGTGGAAGGATGACATGGATATTTGTGAAGCGTTCCATATTTTTCCAATCTGTCTCAAGAGAATTATAATGTGTCTATGTCCTTTAGGCCCAGAGCCAATTAAATAAATTCTAACATTCCTTTAAAAAAAAAAAAAGTTCTTTTAAGGAACTTAGAACTTTCTAACTTGCATTACAATTATTTGTATATACACCTCCTCTACTAGTTTCTTGTATATACACCTCCTCTACTAGTTTCTTTCCAGAACAAAGATTTGCCTTGTTCATCTTGTTCCCACTGTGCTACCACAGTATCTGGCACGGATAGCACTACATACATGTTAGTTTCCTTCTTCTTCCCTCCTCCTCACTGGAGGCACACTTTTTCCCCTACAGTTTCGTTTTCTTGCCTCAGCATCAATGTTCCATTCCTTGCTGCTGAGTGAGAAAATGTTCATCTGTGTGTGCCTCAGGCAGTTGTGTTTTGATGAAACAACGCTCACAAACTGTTGTAAAAATAAGCTAATTTACCTAAAAATGGTAACTGCATTGCAGCCTTAAGGAGCTATGAGGGAAATGAATACTGGTGAGATAGTGGGCTGTCCTGGTATGTGTGATATTTCATTTAGAATATGGATTTCAAGTGGGAACTCTATAAGGTTTGCATTCAGCAAGAACGGACTGCATTTCCAAAAGAACTACCTGTCAATCTTGTGGTCCTATTTTTAGTATCCCTGCTTCCTTTCAAACCTCTTTGGTAGATCAATTATTTTTTAGGGAGAAAAGGGGTACCAAGTGTGTTCTCATATGTAGATACCTTAAAAATTCTAGGCAACTTTTGTGGCCTGGAGGTTGGTGTTTTGAGACTACATCATTATCAGAATATATAACTTTTTCTATTTAGGCTGTCAGCTCCCTTTTCAAATTCTACCACCTGGGTGAAGTTCTCTCTGTCTAGAAATCTTTTCTCTTTTCTGAGTTCTGAGAATATTTATTTTCTGCACCATCTTTTAGCTCATATCATACTGCTTTTTATTGATGGCTGGTTTTGTTTGTTTTGTGCAAGTCTTTGTCTTCCAGAATAATTTTAATTGGTCCTTGGGTTTGGTCAGTTTCAAATTTTACAGGTACTCAGAGAAAACTGCAATAGTTACACTCTGTTTAAAGGATGATATATTCCAGAGGACCTACTAAAATACCTATCACACATCTATAAATATCAAGTTACAATAAACATCTTGCCCTTCCTTTGTATCCTCCTTCTCTGGTGGAGCAGTAGGGTAAACACGTTTCAGAAGTTGGGTGCCTAACTTTACAATTTTGCTCATTCAACCAACAAAAAAATACAGGGCAATGGAATCCACATTGGTGGTTATTTAGCTACCTTTTCATGGAGATTTATCTCCACCTTCAGTCTTCAGGACCCGAGAGGGCATGGACCTACTTTGTACAGCCTACAGTTCCAGCATGATGTCTTACACAGAGTAGGCACAAATAAATGTGAGAAATAATTGAATAATATATACACTCTCTTGGAGTTTCTTTGTGGGGAACATGATTAAGAATAAAGTGCTAATATCTATCTCAAAGTCTTTTTGTAAAAAAGTGGAGTATAAAGAAACACATAAAAATAAGGGGGCTTCCCTGGTGGCACAGTGGTTGAGAGTCCGCCTGCCGCTGCAGGGGACACGGGTTCGTGCCCCGGTCCGGCAAGATCCCACATGCCGCGGAGCGGCTGGGCCCGTGAGCCATGGCCGCTGGGCCTGCGCGTCCGGAGCCTGTGCTCTGCAAGGGGAGAGGCCACAACAGTGAGAGGCCCGTGTACCGCAAAAAAAAAATTAATTAATTAATTAATAATAAGGTATTGTTTTCACATTTTGGAAAAGCTTCTTGGCCTCTGATAGGCAGTATTACCTGGATCAGAAGGACTGGCTGAAGGGAACTCCTGGAGACCAAGTATGTGAGGGGGAATGCATTCTCTTTTTCTGGTGTTTAAAAAGAAGCTGTAAGAACAAAATGTTTCTAATTAAGATACCACTGATCTTTCCCTCCATTAATTCCATCTTTCTTCAAAGCTAATGGGTATATACAATGACTTCACATCAAAGACTCTTTTCTAATGGTTTAGGAGATGTGCGTTTTATTAGAACAAAGCAGAACTCACAACCCACAACAGAGCAATTTGTTGAAGTTATTTTGGAGTTGATTTACGGATCACTCTTTAGGAAATGGACTGGATCCTCATTATGTGTGCTATCTTTCTAAACCTTCTCCAAGAAGTGTTTCAGCTGTGCTTCCTCTCACTCAATCCTTCCTCCATACACTTATCACTTGCAGTCTCCTCACATGGCATTATACTTACCTATTTTCTTCCCTTTCTCCTACCATTACACCATAAGCTCCTTGAAGACAGGTATTAAAGCTTGCTCAACTTAGTATATTCAGTGTCTTGCACAAGTGCCTGGTTTATGATAGGCATTCAACAAAGATCTGTTAAATGAATGGATGAATGAAAATAATGTGTCACATTTATAGAGAGTTTTAGGCTTGCAAGTACTTTCCTATGTTATTTGACTCCCATGATACTCCGAGGCAGGCAAGATACCCATTATTAGCCGTATTTACAGGTTAGAAAGGCTGTAAAAAAAAAAAAAGTTACACACATAATAAGGCCTAGCATTTAATAAGTAATTAATATGTGCCAGGAGCTTTACATATATATATATATATATATATATATATATATATATTTTTTTTTTTTTTTGCTGTACGCGGGCCTCTCACTGTTGTGGCCTCTCCCGTTGCAGAGCACAGGCTCTGGACGCACAGGCTCAGCGGCCATGGCTCACGGGCCTAGCCGCTCCGCGGCATGTGGGATCTTCCCAGACCAGGGCACGAACCCGTGTCCCCTGCATCGGCAGGCGGACTCTCAACCACTGCACCACCAGGGAAGCCCCTTTACATATATTTTACTCCTCACAGGAGCCCTGTGATAATAAGAACTAACATTGTGAGTTGACATATAAGGACCTGAGGTTCGGAGAGGTCAAGCAACTTCTCCAGAGTCACACACCTGGTAAGTGGGATTCCAGAATTCTCACCTATGTGACAGTGAAACACATTATTTGACAGTGAGTCAAAAAACTCTTAGGCTAAACTGCGTCGCATATATCCAACTTATCTCCGCATATATCCATGGGGCAAGCACTCCCTCTTCTGCCTATATCACAATTTTTTACATTAGTGACACATACATGGCCTGTATGCTGCATATTCCTCATATGTCCCCAGTTAGATTGTGAACTTCTGGAGGGCAGCGATCGGCTCCATGACCTCAGGCAGTTACACATAACTGCTGCTCGTTAGAAAATTTTCAACGAAGGATACCAGGATGGTGGCTATAAATGCGGAGTCTTGGAGTAAGAACAGGTACAGAAGGAAGACGGGGACCGGTGTATTCATTCCACAACTTAATGAGCACCTGGGCCGGTGTTAGGTGCTGGAGACACAGTGATGACTAGGCCAGTCAGGGTCCCTCCACTCATGAGACTTCACTGTAGAGGTCGAGGTCAAGGTCAAGATCAAAGTCATAATTTACCTCTGTGTTCCTCAGTGGAAAAAAGAGGGGTCGCAGGCCCCAGCATCTGCAGGGTTTTGGCAGTCCTGCAGCACAAATTCATGAATAAAAAGCTAGAAGTAACTCAAGTGAACCGCTTTCATGTGATTGAACTTGACCGGCCAGAAGTCTTGGGCTGGCTGGTGTGGGAGATAAAGAGCGCAGAGCGCGTGGCGCGAGTCCGAGATAAAGGGGTGTGGCCGCCTAGCCTCTGCAGCCAGTTTTTCCACGCGTCGCTCCATCTGGCAGCAACAGGACGCGGGGCAGTAGGGTCTTCCAGGCCCACCACGAGGAAAAGGGGGCGCGTTGGCTGGCCCCCGTACTGCTCACCGCCGTTTATGAAACGCCCCCCAAATGTGCCTCATGCGGAGTCCGATCCTCGCGGACGCACCGAGCTGCCTGGCCTCTGCGCTGAAAGGTGAGGGCTGCGCGGTAACTGGGTGTTCTTAGAATCTAGGCTTCCCACCCCCATCCATTATTAAATCCCAGTCTCTTTTCCCGTTCTCCTGCACCCTGGCCCGAACACTCCTCCACCGAGCACTCCTCCCCCACCTACTCTTGCCTCCCGCGCTAGGCCTGGGGGGCGGGGCGCGGGCTCCAGGCTGCGCGAGAGTTCCGCCCAAGTCCCGCGAGACTCCCCGGCCGCCGCCGCTGCTGCTGTTGCTGCTGCCGCTGCTGCCGCCGCCGCCGCCTCCTACGTCTTTCCCTTTGACAAGTCGCCGCTGCTGCAGCAAAAATAAAGGACGCGGCCACCGCAGCCGCTGCCGAGCCTGGCTCGGGTCGCCGGAGCCGCGCCCCACCCCCGCCAGCTCTGGAGCCGCGTATGGTAACGCCTTCTCTTCTGTCCTGCAGGCCGCCTGTGCGTGCGCCCAGCTGGCCCGGCAAGGCCAGCCGGAGCCGTTCGGGGGCCGCCGCCGAAGGGGGCCACTGGGGTCCTGGGTGGGAGGCAGGCAGAGGCCTGAGGAAGTCCTCCCGGCGCGGTGCGGCTCCTCGGCCCCTGAGGCCTCTCGCTGCCTGGGCGGCTACAGAGCCGCGTTAGAAGCCGAGCGGCTGGCCCGAGAGGGCGGAGGAACCCGCCCCTCTGGCGGCTTGCTGTATCAGTCCACGGGCCTCGGGGGTCGCGTCTCTGACCTCCCCCACTCCTTTATCTGCTAAGGAGAGTCCCGCCCCCCACCGGGGCTCGGACCGCGGGGTGGGGTGGCGGCCCGACTCTATTTCGGGATCCGAGGAGAGCCGCGACCCGGGTGCCCCCCGTCACCCTCCACCTTTGGAGGGGTGGAGGTTGGGACGACGTGTCTTTCCCTTTTGCTCCGCTTTTTGGGTGGGGGCAGCTCATCATCTGGTAAACCTTTTTTCAAATCTGCCTTTATAAAATAACAATTTATAAAGCTTTTGCTACTGGGAGGGGAGACGAGATACATTGTTAAGTCTCTGGGGTGAGATGAGGAGGATGATGAGTGGAGCTGTCTCAGGGAACATAGTGAAACCTTTCCTGTGATGGGTGGCAGGTTCTTGGGAGACACAGGAGGACCGGAGCTGGTACGATCTCTCCCAGGAGGTTATGTAAAAGACATGCTGTGCATCCTAGAGAGCTGTGAAACACAGGGACAGAATTTTGCTTTAATTTAACAATGGTTTCTATAATGCAGTAGAAAATATGGATACTCAGAATAATAGGAATACCAAATCTGAACACACTGACCCATCCTCGTAATTCCATTTCCAGAGGTAGCATTTCATGGTTAACATTTTGGTGTATTTCCTAACAGACACTTAACAGTTTTTGGCTCATCCTTGACTGGGACTTCCCCATTCTATACATGTTGGAAAAATGATTTGTTTTATTTGAGTCACTTCTTTGACCTGCTTGATTAAAACTGGTTACTTGTTCATTAGCACGGGCTGTACTCTGTCATCACTATCTCTTTCATTGGGCCCTCTTCCAAATTGATTATTAGCTAAATGCTTTTAAAAAAAGAAAACATTAAAAATTATTATTTACTTGGATCTAGGACATATGTATCTTTACAGTTCTGCCTGTGGGGGGTGCTGTAAAGGAGTAGTATTTGTGGAAAGCAAATAAACTTTGATTATTATGGTGGGAAGAAACCTGTTTACTTCAAGGCTTTATAAAATTGGCTCCCATTGGTTATTTTTAGACCCGAATCATTATGTGGCATTGTTTGCTTCATAGTGCTTTTGTGATTGGGATGGGATGGGATGGGATGGGATGGGATGGACATTGGTTATGTAGATTTCTATAGTGTGTGTTTATACAAGCAAAATTGAGTGTCCTTGGTACCTGTGTGCATATATATGTACACACATGTGTATTAAGCACCTGTACGCATTCATAAATCTTGGAAGTGAGTTAAAATGTGTTGTTATATTATTTGAAGAAAGAAAGCATTAGGTAGGGCAAAGAATAGTCTTGCAATATTTCCCCCAAATCACATGACAGTTTTATATGGCAGAATGAGACATCTAGGGAGGTTGAAAATCTGGAGGCTTTTAAAAATAGGATAGATTGTCATCTATCTGGGGTTGTCATTGGAATGGCCTATTAAGGCCTCTTGTAATTCTAAACTTTTATGAATTTTGCTTTCCCTAAGGTTCTTATCACTTTGCTTCTTAAATTTCTAGTCATGCTGTTTGCTCGTGACACTTACCCATTCATTTGCTCGTCATGTATTCCACTCCCAATGCAGGCATCGTGGTGGTGCGTGGAGGAGAAAGCAAATGTAAACATGTCACTTAATCTGTTTATTAATATAAACATCTGAAAATCTTATTTGATAAAAGGAATTTCAGAAGACTTGTTGATTAGGCTGGGTTGGTTAGTAGAGGATGCAGATAATAAATACAGTACAATTCTAATGTCCCAAGCATTTTTTCCCAAAAAAGATGAAATTACTCAATATTTGAAATTTAAAAAAAAAGACTGCATACATTGAACAGCTGATTTTTTAAAATTCAGATTTTCAGAACTTAAAATAACAATGATGATGACTTTGTAGTTTAGGGTGTGGAGAGAAGTTTGTATTAGGATAAAAGCAAATTGACTTGAGAAAAACCTTGAATTTTATGGTTGGACAACTATGTGGTAATAAGTAACAAACTTACTGTAATCTATTGACAGTTTTTTATGTAAATAAAACTTTGGCTTAACAGACAAATGAAATATGTTATTTTGGGCACATACTACAGATTATCACGATATTGAAAACATAAAAAAAATTGGTTGTTTTAAAAGAAGTTTGCAAAGCCAGTAAAGTTGCAACAGCAGCAAATTTTTTTTGACTAAAAATGGCAGAAGGTATAAAAAACATAACGTAGGTAATTTACTTTTTAGATGCCCGATCTGGTTTTTATGATTTTCGTTTGTTCTGCTGTCACTTACTAGACCCTCTAAATTAATGGGAATATTAAATTCCAGATGAGATCCCTGAGCAAGGGAATAAGACATTCGCATAAGATGATCGATTGATGGATTTTATTTATTTTTAACTTTATTTTGAAATAATGTTAGACTTACAGAAACGTTGCAAAGATAGTACAGAGAGTTCCTATATACCATTCACATGGCATCCTCTATTGTTGAAGACTTACATAACAATGATCAAACCCAGGAAATTCGCATTGGTGAAATATTATTAACTAAACTACAGACTTTATATGAATGTCACCAGTTTTTCCCCAGTGTATGTTTTTTTTTTTTCTCTTCCGGGATCTAATCCAGGATCCCACATTGCATTTAGTTGTTAATATCTTCCTAGTCTTGTCTACAATCTGTGACAGTTCCTCTGTTTTTCCTTGTCTTTCATGACCTTGACACTTTTGATGAGTACTAGTCGGTTATTTTGTATAATATTTCTCATTTTGGGTTTGTCTGATGTTTTTCTCATGATTAGATTGAGGTTCTGTATGTTTGCAAGAAAACTACAAAAGGGATGTGTCCTCAGTGCATCATACTAGAGGGTACATGGTGCTGATATGTCTTATTGCTAGTGATATTTTAACCTTGATTGTTTTATTAAGGTGAACTCTGCTGTATTCTCCACTATAAAGTTACTATTTTTCTTTTTGTAATTGATACATATCTTAAGGGAGATACTTTGAGACTATGCAGATAGTTTCTCCTCAGACTTTCTCCCCCTGATTTTAGCAACCATTGGTGGATGTTGTCTGCAACAGTTATTACTGTAGTATTTGCCTACTGGTGATTTTGTTATTTCCCTCGTTCCTTTTACATTTATTATTGGAATTCTTCTGTAAGAAAGAGATGTCCCTTCCTCATTTATTTGTTAAATTATTTATTTTTATAATTATGACTTCATGGATATTTATTTTATTCTACAGATTCTACTTCAATAGTATCATTATCTTATTGCTCAGATTCTTCCAGTTTTGGCCATTAGGAGCTCTTTCGGGTTGTCCTCCACCCTTTTTTGAGCACTTCCTTATATTCTGGCACCACAGGCTATATTCCATGCTGATCTTGTATTTTTCCTTGTACCTGTCCTGAAATCAACTACTTCTCTAAGGAGATCTTGTTCCTTTTATTGGAGAACAGAATTTAAATCAAGATCTGAATGCTAGGTATGCTCACTGGAGTGTCATTGCTCCTAGGCCCTCAGAGGACAGAGCTAGGAGATATGTGTATATATACTAACTTGCTCACACATGCTAGCAGACACACACACACACACACACACACACACACTTATTTCTGTATTTGTCTTTCCCTATATTTTAAAAACCATATTTGAGTTCATATTAATATCTTGTATTCCAGTCCAACACAAGGTTCATTCCAACCTTTTCTTTTTATTTATTTATTTAATTAATTTTTATTGGCGTATGGCTGCTTTACAATGTTGTGTTAGTTTCTGCTGTACCAACCATTTATTTGTAACTTTTTTCCTGACAGTGAGAAACCTGCCTCTCATTATCTATAATACTGTATACTAATTTATTTGTTCAATTTTAGAATGCACATCAAGTAGTGACCGATTGCTAACCCTTATGAGAAACATATTTACCAATGAGTGCAGTATTTGTATACATGTTTTTTTTCTTGTCTTTAGCCTTGCAGTATGTAGTCAACATACTGTTTTTCAAAGTTACTTAGGTTAATTCTTTTGTTCCTCACTTCCTTTAGTGTGGTTATATTATTCATCTGTAATGCAGTTCTCATTCTTTGTATCCTATTTTGGTTTCCTCCAATTCTGGTTGATTTTATTTCTTTTGGTATATGAAACATTACTGCTACTAAACATTACATTAAAAAACATATACTCATAATTGTCACTCCTTATCCCTACTACCCTATTCCCATTCCCTCCCCTCCCCCTTTTCCCCACCTGTTTTCCATGCCCTTAGGTAACCAGCTTCTTTAGTTTCTTGTTTATCCTTCCATTATCTTTTACACAGATGAACAGATTGTGTTTTTTTGGTATTCCTTTTTTTCTTGCATGCAGTTTTTTAACTTGAGGTACAATTCACAAAACACAAAGCTCACCCTTTTGAAGTGTACAAATCATTGTTTTTTAGTCTATTCATAAGGTTGTGCAACCATCACCACTACCTAATTTTAGAACATTTTCATTATCCGGAAATGAAACCCTGTATTCATTAGTAGTCACTTCCTAGTCCCCCTTCTCCAGCCACTAGTAACCGTACTTTCTGTTTGTATGAATTTGTCTATTCTGGACATTTCATGTAAATGGAATCATATGATATGTGGACTTTTGTGCCTGGCTTCTTTCACTTAACATAATCTTTTCTATGTTCATCTATGTTATAGCATGTGTCAATACTTCATTC